AACAAACAGGGTTCTGGAGTGGTGGGGGGTGGGAGGGATGGGGTGGCTAGGTGATAGACATTGGGGAGGGTATGTGCTATGGTGAGCACTGTGAATTGTGTAAGACTGTTGAATCACAGACCTGTATCTCTGAAACAAATAATACAGTATATGTTAAAAAGAAAGAAGATAGTAGGAAGGGAAAAATGAAGGGGGGGACATTGGAGCCGGAGACGAACCATGAGAGACTATGGACTCTGAGAAACAAACTGAGGGTTCTAGAGGGGATGGGATCGGGGGATGGGTTAGCCTGGTGTTGGGTATTAAAGAGGGCACGTACTGAATGGAGCACTGTGTATTATACGCAAACAATGAATCATAGAATAGTACATCAAAATCTAATGATGTGATGTATGATGATTAACATAACATAATAAAAAAAAATAAGTTGTAGCCAAATTGCCTTGAAATTTTATTGTATTATTAAATAATCCACGGTTTTTTTTTCTAACATCTATTATCCAAGGAAGTACTTTTTATCTAATTTTATCGTTCCTGATTTTTTTTAGAAGTTCGGTGAAAAGTATCCAATTAAAAATGTTCAGCAGTTATCTCTTTATTTCTCTTCTTCTTTTAGAAATGTGATGTCCTATGGGAAGACTTTCATCAAAAACTAGTGGATGGGTCCTTGCTGACACTGGATACCTATCTGGGCCAATTTCCTGACATAAAGGTATTTTACTTTGTGTCTATAAAGGGAAGAATTGAATGGTTCTATGTACTTATTGAAACATGGGCAAGAGATAAGTCGAATTCAGAGTCCTCAAACTGACATCAAACACGGTCACTTTTCATTTATTTAAGCATGGAAATTTTATCTTGTTCCTATCTTTTGAAATGAAATGTAGCCACAGAAATCACATTTTCCCCTTTAGTGAACTGCTTCAGCTTTCGTTTCTCTATAGACATCTTTTTAATACTCTAGATATAAAATTGCAAACCAGATACCAAAAATTCCAATCTTTGTGTTCCAACCTTTTTATTGTGTAGCATTTGATAAGAATTTTCATTAGAATAAACAGCAGTCTCCAAGAAAGGAGAAACTTCATTGCAAACCTGAGAGCAAGATTCAATCATTCCTTGTTTACTGTTCAGAGCACACCTGCATATGTTTTCTCTCCTTAAAATTTCCTGGTTTAGATTGAACTGTTAAGATAGAAGCATTTCAAATACATTTGCAACTGGGTCTAAAAATATCTCATCTAAAATATTTGTCTTATTTGACACTTGGATTCATTGATGGGAAATACATAAGTGGAGGATTGAACATCATAGATTTAGAATTGACCTTGGAGGTAGAGATGGTTTTTAAACCATCAGGGCTGTACATAGCACATGGTAGCATGAATAGATCTGCACCCAGTTGTTTTTCCTGCTCAAGGAGGAATACCAGGTAAGTACCACGGTGCTGCCCTTCTTATAGGGTGAAGGAGGCCATGAACCAGCATCCATCCATCTGCAGAGCCTTAATTAGGTGACTTCTGATGTGAAGCTCCACTTTTCTCTGGCCTGCTTTGTAGCCATTGCCAAACACCAGGACACTAGCTGCAGTAATGTGCACTGGCCTTGGCCATGAAACATAGTGAAGCTTCTCAGCCAGAGCAGCACTCCTGTAAATGATGTCAATTTCCTTGGTCCCATACATAATACCTAAACTAATTGGCCAACATCCCAATGTGTTTTGGGACACAGGGGCACCATATAAAAAGCCTCGGTGGACCAGACTAGGTACATTAATTAGCCTTGGTAGCAGAATGTCACAGAGAACAAATCCAAACGATAGATTCTCAATGACGTTATCATAATAGGTAGGAGAGCACTTTCGTGAGCCATTGCATGATTGTGTCCTCATTAAAAGGTGTAAGTTGGTTTTTTAAAACTTTCTGAGAGATTTAAAAATTAAATTGAAAAAATTTTAGGATTCTCTGAGGCTGCCATGCACTAGCCTATAGGGAATGTGTCTTGGGATATCTTCAGATTATTTGGTGGACAGTCACATTTTGTCTTAGAATTTGTAACATTTGTGGAGCAGAGAGTCTCAGAATCATTATCACACTTCAGAATATCATTTGTTGCGTGGTAATTTAATCTCCATAAAAATCAGTCCCTAATAAATCAGAAGGGGATATGGGAAAACTTTGACCTCATACTTGAAAATTTCAAAGCAGTTTGCAACTAGTCTAAATTATTCATATAATATACATTAAGAGTATTAAGCAAATGAAGGCTGTGATTGACCAGAGAAGAACACATTTGAAAAGTTGTTGAGCTTCAGGAACAAAAACTTAGTATCATCAGAAAAATGTGGAGTATCTTGGTTGTTACGGTACTGCCCAGCCATAGTAATTTGGAAATTGGCCATATTCTCTAGGAGCATATAATTTTAGAAGACAAATACACCCAGAAGTACCTGCATTGAAACATAGATTAAAATAAAATCATGATGGCGGCACCTGGGTGGCTCAGTTGGTTAAGCGTCTAACTCTTGGTTTGAGCTCGGGTCATGATCTCAGAGTCGTGAGATCAAGCCCCATGTCGGACTCCATGCTCAGTGGGGAGTCTGCTTGTGGATTCTCTCCTTCTTCCTCTGCCCTTCTGCCTACTCATGCTCTCTCTCTTCTCTCTCTGTCTCTCTCTAAAAGTAAATAAATAAATATTTAAATTAACTAATTAAATAAAATCATGATGGATGATATTGACTGTCTCCAGTTTGTTCCACATCAGAAAGATGAAGAACTCAGTAGAACTTTTGCTTAAGCAATTCTTTTCTTGAGGTCCATGGTTGAGGTCATGCCCAAAAATGATCCTCCAGTGACTGAACCATCTTTACACTAGAGATTTGGGAATAATGTCATCTAGCTGGGTGCTTTAAAATAAGTAAAATATATGTCATGGTGTTGCCTGTGTCATGGAAAGAGGCTGAAATAATCTCTCTTTCTCTGAAGTCACATTTAGAATAGCATTTCAACCAAGGTGGACAATTGTGAAACCGTTTCATATGACAAAGAGTTGAGGACACAGCAGTGTTGAACTAGGAAAGGAAGCTATTTGGAATTAAGGAGTAGACACAGTAGCTGTTTCTAATATTTGAAAGACATTTTTTCTGTGAAGATACACTTAAGTTATTCTCTGTGTCTTTAAGTATTCTCTCTGTCTGAATGGAAGGTAGAAGTGGATGTAGACTCTATCACTTTGTCAAGTTAGTGCTGAATAATTATGTAATGAATGGGTTATTGATGGAAAGAAAGCTAATGATTAAAAATACTCTGTGGAGAATTTTCAAAGCATGGAACACAACTGACTTCCCTGACTTCCATTAAAATCAAACAGCCCATGTGTAGTTAACACGTCAGGCAAATTTCCAAATATTTACTGGTGCTCACCAGCAAGGACTATGAAGTACCATCATGAGGGAATGATGTTTGGCTTTTCCAACTGTGATTGGCAGGGTACCCGGTGTTATAGTTCTTATTACACAGCTCTGACATCTAAAATCAATGTTATAATAAGAGCCAGCTTGTCATCAACCCAGGCAGGCTTACAGCTGTGAGCAGTTATTGTAAAATGTAGTTTAGATTCTATCTTGGCAGCCATGCATAAGCACCTAAACATATATTTACAGCAGTGTGCCAAAGTGAATTCCAAGTTGGGGTTATTATTGACATTTAAAAAAATACAATAAATTAATTTTTTTTACTGTATAAGGTCAGTGTGCAGTGGGAAATTTGAAGAAATTTCAGTTGAACCATATCATTAAACTCTTCACTGTTAAACTAGTAAATTTACTTAATTAAATTTATTACTGGATGGTTAAATAAGAATTGTGTTATTTCCCATATAAAAGCTAAGGTCGATTAACTCTACCCTTACTTAGAAGATTTGATTCTTTCTTCCAAGTTTTTCAAGTATCAGATAGGTAAGGAAATAAGATTGATTTGTATTTCCAACACAAAATTGTGTGAATCAAAATGAGTGATGGCCTTCAAAACAGGCCCTTCTACTATGGTAAGCCCTGCTCTGTAATTGAGTTGTCAGTTACCCAAGAAAATGAGTCACATTATTTATTTCACTTCTTGTTTTTGAACAAAAGAAGATGACCCAGTGTACTCTTCCACCTTATTCCCAGGCTTGGAAGTCATTGAATTTTGGCCCTTTTCAAAAAAAATCACATTCATCTTCAAAGAATCAAGATTGGCTTCTTGGAAGATACTAAAGAAGAGTTCCCCACCCCAACCCCTCCCCTACAAGTCCATGAAGCAGAGCTTTATCAGAGATACACAGAGTTACACAAGTCCACTGCTTCAAGGAACAGTGTTCCTTTGAGGGTAGTAGTTAGATGTTTGCTAGAAATAATGAGTTGGTCACCTCATAGGCACACTCTCCCCACTAGAGTGCCCTGAAGGGCCTCCCTGCATCCTGCCTAGACTAATTCATTCCATATCTTTAAGGAAATGTGAGTCATCCATGCTTTCCACTAACACCAGTTGGAAGTGGTAGGTGTAGAGGGTGAAGAGATTGGAAGCAGCTAAATGAGAGTAAGTGCCCCAACCCACCTCTCATCCATCCCAAAGCGGGTGTAGAGGAATAGCATAGAGTGACAGGTGGTAATTGAATGTTGGGGTAGGTCTGAGAAATATGGGAGCAGTTAAGAGGACTAACCAAGAGTCAGGAGGAGGGCTGGGACTGGATGAGGCAGGTGAGGGCACTAGAGTTCAAGATACAAGGAGGCACCTACTCTTGGTTGCTGACCCCGCAGGTATGTGTCCCTGAGAGTAAGGGCCTTCTTAGATGTTGTACCCTAGGTGTCTCATGTGCCTCATTCTACTCCTGGTACTGGTTGGTGTGGGGTGGGAGGGTTGGCTGACATCTAATTCATCTTTGCCACAGACTTTCTGAGCAATTCTGGACAAGTAGAAGTTAATCTCATGCAACTGGAGATTCTCTACATGTAAAATGGGAATAATCCCTGCAATACCCATACTGTAGGTTGCTGAGGATCTGTGAGTTGTGACTGTGTTTGTATGCCATAAACATGCTAGTGTTGTTTTCTTCTTCCTACCATATAAAACTTAAAAAGTTTTTTAAGGGTCTTCTCCTGTAGTAGTTCTCCAATTGGACTGGCTGGGTGTAACTGAACCACTAGGGGTCTTTTCAAAAAGGCCAAATGCATGGGCCTTGCATCAGACTAATTAAATTTGCTTATTATTTGCTTATTAGTTATACCTCCTTTTTTAAGATTTATTTATTTGAGAGAGAGTGCATGCACGGGCGAGCAGGGGAGGAGGCAGGGGGAGAGGGAGAGAGAATCTCAAGCAGACTTCCCACTGAGCATGGAGCCAAACACGAGGCTAGATTTCCCCACCGTGAGATCATGACCTGAGTCAAAATCAAGAGCTGGACGCTTAACCAACTGAGCCACCCAGGTGCCCCCCACTTTTGTTTTAGGTATTTATTTATTTATTTATTTGAGAAAGTATACCTATTTAACTTTTTAGTGGTTGCTATACAATTTGTAACATATATCTTTAACTTTTCCTGTCTAACTTCAAATATTATCATAGCACTTTTATATAAACAATATACCTCCAGTTCTTTCTTTGCTTCCTCTGTGATTATTGTCACAAAATTTTCCTTTACATATGTTATAAACTCCACAATACATTTTTTCTGTTTCTTTTTTTTTGCTCTAGATAATCAATTGCCTTTTAAAGCACTTAAAATTAAAAATAACCCAAATCATGTATATTGACCTTGAATTTTATTAATTTCTGGTACTTACTTTTGTGTGTGTGTGATTCCTATGATGGCAGTGAATTCTTTCAGCTTTTGTTCGTCTGAAAAAGACTTTTTTAAAAGATTTTATTTATTTACTTAGAGAGGGCACACACAAGCAGGGGGAGGGGCAGAGGGAGAGGAAGAGAGAATCCCAAGTAGACTCTGCTGAGCACGGAGTTTGACGTGGGGCTTGATCCCATGACCGCAAGGTCATGACCTGAGCTGAAAACAAGAGTCTGATGCTTAACTAACTGAGCCACCCAGGCGCCCCAGTCTGAAAAAAAAAAAACAAAAACAACTATATTTCACTTTTACTGTTGGAAGGTATTTTTGCTGGGAATAGAATTCTGAGTTTGCAGATTTCTTTTTCCTTTTTTTTTTTATTTTTCAGCACTTTAAAAATGTTATGTCATTGTATTTTGGCTGCATAGTTTCTCAAGAGTAGCTTTCTGTAATCCTTGCCTTTGTTCTTTATATTTTCCTTCTTGATTTTAAGCAGTTTGGCTATGAAGTGTCTGGATGGATATTATTCAATGTTTGTCCTTCTTGGGGTTCTGTGAGTTTCTTGGGTCTGTACTTTGATGTCGTCATTATTATATAAATTTCTCAGCCAATATCTCTTTAAATATTTCTTCTGACTTAACCTCTCATCTCTTTTGGAAACTCCAGTTAGGCCATGTTGGACCATTTAATATTGTATTACAGGTTTTGTATGCTTGATTCTGTTATTTTTCAACTCTTATTTCTCTTTGTGTTTTAATAGGAATAATTTCTCTTGATACATTTTCATAGATTTTTTTTTTTAAGATTTTATTTATTTGACAGAGAGAGACACAGTGAGAGAGGGAACACAAGCAGGGGGAGTGGGAGAGGGAGAAGCAGGCTTCTTGCTGAGCAGGGAGCCTGATGTGGGGCTCGATCCCAGGACCCTGGGACCATGACCTGAGCCGAAGGCAGACACTTAACGACTGAGCCACCCAGGCGCTCCATTAGTCTTGGTCGTTTTAAAATTTGTTTGGTATTTCCAGCATCTGGGTCGTGTCTGAGTCTGGTTCAGTTGATTGCTTTATCTTTTCTCATGGGTTTTCTTTGTGTGTGTGTTTCATAATTTTAGACTGAATCCCAGACATCATGTATAGTGAAGACTGAAGGAATAGTAATGCCTTGAAATGGACATGCCTTTTTGTCAGGCCAGTAGTGTGGCAGTGCAAATCAATCTGATCATGAATTGAGCTGGATTTAGGTTTGTTGGTTATTATGATTTTACTATTATTACTTTCATTACAGTATGGCTTTCACATTCCTCTAGAATTGGGCTGCTAATGCCTTGTGCTTATTTTCTAACATCTATAATGTTTTCAGACTTGGGTTGAAGTCTGGTTTTTGCCTCTCCTTTGGTCCACATAAGGTAGGTCCTTGAATGCCAGAGAATTATCCTCCGTGTCCTTGTTCCCCATCAGATCTTAGTTCCTTATATGGCTGTACTGCAGAAGGGGCCTCTCTCTATACACTTGCCCTCCTTCCAGTGGCAGGCAGCTATTGCTTATTGTTGACTGTTAAACTTGTAATGGGGACACTGCTGTTTTTTGTTATACTTCCTTGGTCTGTCCTTTTTTTTTTTTGTAGAGAGGGAGAGAGAGCAAGACAAGACAGAGTTCTTGGCCTGTCTTAAGCAAATTCAGCCTCATATCTGTGGTTGGCTTTGGGCAGGAGTTTCCTGCCCCTGCTCAAGTGGGAACAGACCACTGCTTGTTAAAGGAGCCAGCCAGACCATGGGCCCAAGATGGTTTTATGCCCCTCCCTAATCAGTAGAGATCTTTTTCTTCTATCCTTCCTTGTGTAACAATGATATTTACATATATCATAGGGGCCAGAAGGGTTTCTTAATCCTCCCCCAGGGCCAGGTGGGTTTCTTAATCCTCCCCCAGGGCCAGATTGGTTTTGCTTCTATTCTTCTCCTTCAAGCTGTGTACCTTTGCCTGGTCTCTATGGGCTCCCTCCTTAAACAACTTAAAGCTTTTACCTTGTAAGAGAAAAAGGTGCATGAGATGGGCAGGGCTCAGTGCCCACCCTGTAGCAGCCATAGCTCACCTCATTCTCTCCTGTACTGCAAAGGAGTGTCTTCTTCCCAATGGCATCCAATGGAGGTTGAAGGGAAGAGCTTACCCATAAGTGCAATTTGCCCTTGTGTCTTGGGCACCTAGCTTTCCAAAGTGATACATTAGCCCACACTAGGCCTCTAACAGTTTGTTAAAATTTTGGCTGACCTCTTCATGTCCACAACTTCTACTTGTACCCTGGTTTGTTGGCACAAATAATTTGTTGTCTTGTCTCTCCTTGGAGGACATTGTCTTTCTTCCCAAATAAAAGAATTCAGATTATTTTGCTTCCTTGTGACCCTTAGGTCTCTGAAAGAATCAAGGAGAGTTGTCCTTTTATAGATTATGCGGATTTTTTCTTGTCAGTATAAGAGTGACATTCATTGCAGCTGTCTGTATCCTAAATGGAAGTGGGGTCTTTAAGAATCCATATATTTTTAAGGCTCCTCAGATGCTTCTAATGAACAAAAAGACTGAGGAACCCTTTTAAGAGGAAGGATTTTTTAGGAAGTAAATCTGCTTTATAGAACTTCTGTTGGTGTGTTATTAGAATTCTAAAACCAAAGCCTAATAGAGTCTTCCATGATCTTCGAAATGGAACATTGAAAGATTTAGAATAGAGGCTAAAAGATAGTATAGGTTTCTTGCTCCCCTCAATGAGTTTTGGAATTTTTCTGATCTTGACTACAAATTCTATCTTCCACTATTCATGATCGGCCTAATTATTATAGAAGGAAAGATATTTACCTGATGGTTTTTACATAAAGAATTGGAGGTGATTGTGTGATTTCCAGGTATCATTTGTTGGCTGAAATTCTGGTTCACTTCAGTCTCCAGTCAGGATCCTCAGTTATTCTGGACAATGGAAGCATTTTAGCAATCAAAAAGAGAATCTATAACCATGCATACATTTCCTTGTTGGCAGAATCGCATTGCAAAGCGCAGCAGGAAGCTGGTGGACTATGACAGTGCTCGCCACCATCTGGAAGCTTTGCAGAGCTCCAAGAGGAAGGATGAAAGTCGAATCTCTAAGGTAAGAACTGATCCCACTGTTGACACCACTCTCCATATTCTATGACCTATAACAATATTGCTTTTTAAAATTAAATACAAGCATAACTCAGAGATATTGTGGGTTCAGTTTCCAACCATGGCAATAAAACAAATATTTTAATAAAGCCATTCAAATGAATTTTTAGTTTCCCAGTGTATGCAAAAGTTATGTTTACACTATACTGTAGTCTAAAGTGTGCATTAACATTATGTTTAAAAACACAACATGCATACCTTAATTAAAAACACTTTATTTCTAGAAAATGCTATTATCTGTGCTTTCAGCAAGTCATAATCACTAATCACAGATTATAACAAATATGATGATAATGAAAACGCTCAAATATTGCAAGAATTACATGAATGTGACCCAGAGACATGAAGTGAGCAAATGCTGCTGGAAAAATGTTACTTACAGGCTTACTTGATGCAGGGTTGCCCCAAACCTCAATTTGTAAAAAAATTTAGTGTCTGCAAAGCACAGTGAAGTAAAGCACAGCAAAACAAGGTATACCTGTTATTTCCTTTAAGGAGATTGGAATTAGGACAGAATTTAAACTGAAACATGGTACTTGTGGGCTGCTTTCCCTAATTTTTAATAAGGTTTTTCATGTGATTGTAGAGTTCACATGGCTGACACCGACTCACACATTTTGGTCAGAGTAAACCTTGGCCCCTGACAATACTGCAGGGTCAGTGAAAGTAATGTGTTTCTCCACTCTGTTCTGTGTTTGGGGTCCGTATTTGAAGCTAAAAGGCAGATTCAGATAGAAAACCAAATTTGAAATTCTAAGACATAGCCTGTAGTTGCCAGAGAGTGCAGACATGTGCTGGATTTGTAGAACATTCGTTTTCTTTTAGAAAACCCATTTTACTATGTTTGCCAGGCACTTACAGATGCCAACTGACACCTGCCAACTATTCCCTTTGCTTCCAGTCTTGCCTCCTCCTATCTGCCTACACACAGCTGTCTGAATAGTCTCTCTACATCACATATCTAGATAGTTTCTCCACTGCTTGTCTTTTAATGGCTCGCATCGCCTATAGAAAACAAATCTCAATTTCTCGGTGTGCACATGAGACCCGCACAACTTGGTTATGACTCACCTATTCATCCTCATCACCTTTTGAATCTTCTTTCTCCTCTGCTCCTTTTTTCATATGCACATCCTAAACTAGAGATCCCATGGCCCACACAGCAGTTCCCAAGCAGCCACGGTAAGAGCTGCCCGTCATGTAAGACACCATAGTTTCCAGGCACCACGCTCAGCTGTGCCATCATTTCTTAATACTTACTCTACGTGTGCAAGTAGGCACTAGTGTCGCGTTTTTATCAGTGAGGTATCGGAGATGAAGAAAGTTAAAATCGTCTCACAAGTTGACACAATCAGTAAGCTAGAATTCTAACCCACATCTTTATGTGTTGTAGTACCTCTCCACCTGCTTCTTCAGTGAACCTTTGCTGATTCTTCAAGATTCCTTTAGAGTGTCACTTTCCCTGTGGAACCTTCTCTGTTTCTCTACCATTTTCCCCAATAGCATGCTCCACAACAGTTTGTAAGCGCTAGTTTGTAATGTAATTATTTAGACTTCTGACTAGACATGGGGAATTTCTTTGGGAAGCATCCATGTCCAGTATGCAGAGCAGAGCAGTGTATGAGACAGGCAGTTAACACGTTTTTGTGGCCAGAATCTACCAGACTACAGAAGCAACCATTGTAATCAAGCCAGTTTTCGTGTCTTAAAAAGACTTAATATTTCACTCTTATTGAAAAAATTATGTGGATTTTATTTGTTTTTTGGTTTGTTTTTGAGAGAGAGTGTGCATTTGCATATGAGCAGGGGAGGGGTGGAGGGAGAGAGAGACTCTTAAGGGGCTCAAACTTTACTACCCTGAGATCATGACTTAAGCTGAAATCAAGAGTTGGATGCTTGACCAACTGAGACGTCCAGGCACCCCCACCAAAAATTATGTGGATTTTTAACCAGACAAATTTCTGTTCTTCTCAAAATGTTTCTTGGATGCCATAAAGCTATTCCCATTTTATGTTAAATGCTGTTGTTGTATATAGAAATGGCTTGTGTTTCGATGGTATTTTTTAGTGTAAACACTTGTTATGTGTCATTTCTAGGCAGAAGAGGAATTTCAGAAAGCACAGAAAGTGTTTGAAGAGTTTAACGTTGACTTACAAGAAGAGTTACCATCGTTATGGTCAAGGTAAAGTTGTTTCTGTACAGGGTGTACACGTCCCTTTTGGAAGATCAAGAACAGGGATATCTCTTCTCTTGTCTTTATTGCCAATAATGCTAAAGCACCGTCCGAGAAGTGTTCCATTTCTGTGCTTTTCAGCATGGTGGCTATTTACCACATGTGGTGGGCTGTTGAACACTTGGGCTATGGCTAGTATGGTGGAGGAACTGATTTTTAGATTTAATTTCTTTTGTTTTGATTCATTTGAATTTAAATAACAACATGGGGCTAGCAGCTATTATATTGACGGCAGAGTTTTAGACCTTAATCTATTTGTCAAGTGGAGCCCCAGATCTCAATCAGAGGCATGGGGAGAAGTGCCCTTAACTTTGAAATTTACAAGGATACCTTTTAGCTCTTGGCAGGACTCCATTTATTCTGAGAGGTTATGTAGTCTTCCAGCTTTGATGCCAAAACCTCTGCTTTCAGCTCTGACCTTTTAACCTGAACTTCATTCCCATTTGAAGTGCTAAATATTCTTCTTATTATGGGTACTCTGCGTTTCCTGTGGCATTAAGTGCATTGTGCATCCTTTGTCTTATTTTTCTCACTCAATGGTAGAACCAAGAAGTTGTTGGATGAAGTGGGTCCTTATGTCTCTCAATTTCCATCAGCGCCTCATGCTCCCACACCAAATAAGCAGAATTGTGTTCACTGTGCTACCCTGCTTTAAGTTAAGGCAAACACTCTAGCCCAGCTTCCAACCAGATTGGCATCCCCTAAAACCTTCCTCCATGGAAATTCTGGATTTTCTACTTATCCTCTAAAATTGTGAGCATTTTGAGGGTCTAGAGTGGAGTAGGCACTCCATGTTTATTTTTGAACTACTGAAATACCTAGAGGAAATTTTGGCTAGTTCACGATTAAATCAGCCTGTAGGGCATGTCCACTTCAATATCCAGCCATAACCCAAAGTTTAACATGGGTGAAATTAACTCATCGCTCATCTGAATTTACTCATTCTTTCAACATCTGCATTTCTCTTTGTGGTACTGTCGTTCTTGGGCTCCCAGGCTGCAAACTGTGGAGTCAGTAACTATAGAAAACCAGAGGACCATCAAAGGAATCAATCCATCCTTTTTCTCTGTGGTCTTCTGGATTGGTCTCTCTCTCCTTATTCTCACTGCCCCCACATTTACCCCCATTATCCCCCTGTGAGTTATGGTGATGGTCTTGCTCTCACATTTGTGTCTTTGACCTCATCCTGTATACCTCTTTATTCAGAAGCTCTACCTTGACAAATCTCTGTGGTCTGCAGAGGAACCTACTGTGTGTGCCCAAAGAAGAGGATTTTGAGCAGCCTGAATATGTAAAACTTCTAGGGATACAGATGAGACAAATGTATTCATAATTTTAATTGAGTTATTCATGCCTATTCAAAATCATGAGTTATATGAAATTATGTTTTTTAAGAAAAATGTTATATACTCATATTTCAAGAAATACTTGTATCCAAAATCTTTATATCCATCTTTGTCCTCCATGTCTTCATCCTCATTAAGGACACTCATCAAGTCAGCTGGTAGTTCTCCAGAGCTTCTCATCTTCCTCAACAGATATACCATCCCAAACACAAGTTGTCATTTGCATACAATTTGGACAGTTATCCTGTTCATTTCCCCTCTAAAGGAATTTTTGTGGTCTCAAATATAATTACTTACTCAATTGCTTTTTAAACTGATCTTTGCAAGAGCTAGGTACCACAATGCTCAACACTTCCAATTATGAGATAATACTCCTGGAAAAATTGCCAAAACTGCCCAAAGACAGTTATTACTTGCCTTAATATGTATTGGGTATGTAACAGATTTCTTTTTTTTTTTTTTTAAAGGTTTTATTTATTTGACAGAGAGAAAGACAGCCAGAGAGGGAACACAAGCAGGGGGAGTGGGAGAGGGAGAAGCGGGCTTCCCGTGGAGCAGGGAGTCTGATGCGGGGCTCGATCCCAGGGCCCTGGGATCATGACCTGAGCCGAAGGCAGACGCTTAACAACTGAGCCACCCAGGCACCCCTGTAACAGATTTCTTTTTCCTCATGTTCTCTGTATGCATTCAAAACCAGCACTGACTGATGTTGTTCAGACTTACGTGTCTTTCCCAAATAGTATTTGGTCATTCAGTATAAGTAACTGTCAGAGTATCTTGTAATATGAAGACTTTATAGGAACTAAAACACAATGGGAATATTTGAAAGACAAAGTTTGGAGGGAAAACTTTCCCCTTATCTGGCCAAATGCAATCTCAGTGCTTCAGTGCCTTTTAATCCACTGTGACTTATTCCCGCACTCAAGGCTTACCCCTTTGTATGTCAGTCAGGTCATACGGATGAAAACCTAGTTTAGGCCTTTGAAAAAAAATTTTATTTTATTTAAATTGAATTAATTAACGTGTAGTATATTAGTTTCAGAGGTAGAGTTCAGTGATGCATTAGTTGCATATAACACCCAGTGCTCATTACATCACGTGCCCTCCTTCGTGCCCATCACCCAGTTACCCCATTAACCCACCTCCCTCCCTTCCAGCAACCCTCAGTTTGTTTCCTAGAGTTAAGAGTCTCTTATGGTTTGTTTCCCTCTCTGATTTGTCTTATTTTATTTTTCCCTCCCTTCCCCTATGATCCTGTTTTGCTTCTTAAATTCTGCATATGAGTGAAACCTTTTTCTGACTTACTTCACTTAGCATAATACCCTCTAGCTCTGTCCACATCATTGCAAATGGTGAAATTTCAATTTTTTGATGGCTTTGTAATATTCCATTTTGTGTATGTATATATTATATATATATGTGTATATATATACATATATATATATACACACACACACACACACACACACCACATCTTGTTTATCCGTCATCTGTTGATGGACATCTGGGCTCCTTCCACAGTTTGGCTATTGTGGACATTGCTGCTAGAAACATTGGGGTGCATGTTTGATGGTGCATGATCCCTTTGGATCACTATATTTGTATCTTTTGGATAAATACTTAGTAGTGCAGTTGCTGGGTCATAGGGTAGCCCTATTTTCAACTTTTTGAGGAACCTCCATACTGTTTTCCAGAGTGGCTGCACCAGCTTGCATTCCCACCAACAGTGTAGGAGGGTTCCCCTTTCTCCACATCCTCGCCAACATTTGTTGTTTCCTGACTTGTTAATTTTAGTTAGGCCTCTCTCTCTCTCTCTCTCTATATATATATATATTGTGTTTTTTGATTAGACCTACATTATTTAACTGCAATAATTGTGTGTATTGTGTGTTTGTATGAGAGAAAAAGAGATAATTCGTTTATTATTGAATACTCTTTATTTTCCAGGTAGCATCTTATGCACTTTACATGTGTAATCTCTAATTATCACAATTACATATACCCCCCTCTTACAAATGAGGAAGCCAGGGATGATACTGGTTAAACACTTTGCTTAATATTGTAAGGTTTATAAATCCCAAAGCTAGCACTTTAACACACTTCTGTGGTACGTCCTGTAAGTCCTGATGTCTGATGCAGGACTTCTCCTTACATACACTGAGACTGTAGGCAGACTTCCATAAATAAAGTTTATTTCAGAAAATGGTTTTATCAATCCATGTTTTCTTCCCAGCCATATCACTCCACCTTGAGACTGAAGTTAGTACTTTGTGTCTTCCGTGCCCCCTCCTGTCATGAGAGGAGTACTGACAGCAACCAGTATTTAAGGAAAGTGCCAGAAGGGGGGCCTGCAGCAGAGCCTGAGAGGAAACAATCACAGATGTAGAAGAAGACCCAGAAGAGTAGGATCTTAAGAAGCCAAGAATGGAGAGAATTTTAAAAAAGGGAAGGAGTGCCAGGAGAATCATTTCCAAGACCGAGGTCAAGCAGAGGAGGCGAAGGGTGTATTGCTTCTGGGGAGCTTCCAGATAGGTTCCAGCTGAGGGCGGGGTCAGCCGCCTGACTGCCGGCGCTGGAGACGCCATGGTTGATGAAGTAGGAGCTTGGCTATGATGGGCCTCAGCAATCGTGGCAGCAGATACGAGGGGCTGAGAGGGCAAGGGAAGCCTTTTCAAATAGCCATTATCATTTTGAGAAGCTTACAGGGGCAGCGGCACAGCTGGGATGATACAACACTGAGGATTTCTGGAGCAAGTAGAGGGTAAGGGGATAAAGACAAGGTGTTGGTGGAGCTGGCCACCCAGTGGGTACCCAGTGTTGAGAGGCCTATGCTTGATAAAGCAAGCTGCTGAGCCTGAGGGGACAGTAGCCTGGAAGAAAAGGGCCAGTGATCTCAGATTAAAAAAATCAGCGGGTGGAACGGAAGTGAATGAATGAAGGATCTTTGGTCCAGGAAGTGAGGTTAGGGAGTAGGCCACTGAATGGTCTCATCTCGGTTGTGAGTGATGGCAAGATCCAGGATGTGCAGCAGAATGTGTGTGAATAAACATGCTGGGGTCACGGGGTCAGTGAGTTAGGAGTTTGTGTTTTGGTTGGACAGTCATATGGTTGTGGGGATCTGCTGTGTTCATGTTAGGACTTGGTGAAGGGGAGAGAGGGAAATCATGAGACATGTACTGTGTGCACAGTGAGGTTGGGAGATGAACTGTATGGGGGCTGAATACATGTGGCTTAAATCTCAGAGGAGGGTATGTCAGTATGCTCAGAGGATCAGGATCAGGGGCGAGATAGAAGAAAATTCTTCCTTCCCCCACTCCACCCCCCTGGTAAGTGAGGGATGGCAGAGGATGCTTCCTCCATTGCAGGGGGCTCAGGGGGAAACAGTGACCCCCACCCTGGCCCCCACAGGCTTCCCTTAGGGCACTGCCGAGGGGAGAGTGCCCTGGCCTGCACGCCTTGGTGGTGATAGCTCAGTTACTAGTCCTTCCCACTGTTTCCAAGGACAAAGAACCATCTTAAAGAAATTAAGTTGGTCTTGACAGGTAACCAGAAGGGGCCTGAGGATGCCTCAGAGGAGTCCTTCAGGGAAATGGTAATGTCTCA